AGATCGGAATATACAAGATGGCACATATTGTATTGGCTTAAGAACAAGGTCTTTCGGTGTTCATACCTTTTCGATTAATTTCATTGAGGAAAACACATTTGCAATGTCATAAAGGCGTCTAACTTTAGCTGCAGAGAGTTTTACAGAAATAGGGTTTAGTTATTGCTTTCGTATGTAATAATCAGAGATAAGGAAAGATTAACGGGATGAGTTAGGATTACTTCTCATATTCATGGGCTCCTGAGGGTCATTCAGCAATGCCTTTGAAGCGCCATCAAGCGTGATCAGATCATCCTGTCATCAAAGTAGCAACAAGAGAGGTGTCAATTGATCAAAGTTGTTTAGAGAGATGTAATATCACTTATTCACTTACATCAGACTCAGAGCATAGAAAAAGCTTCACAAAGTTCTGTGCAAGATTCCAGAGACATTTCTCCTTCTTGACATCTGAGGGTTAACAAAAAATAAAAATAAAAAGGTTAGGCTAGTTAGCTTCTAGCTATTAGCACCAACACAACTTTGTTGCTTGTAACATTCTTATGCAAAATCACTAGCAATGTCTTGGTTTCATCACTATTAGATTCTAGATTGAAAGTAGATGAATGGTGATTTCAGCTAGAACAAATAGGAAAATGCATATAGAGTAATACTCAATCCTTCACTAATCAATAAAGTTCCGACATTATGACATTACCAAGTTTGGGGGACGGTGAGTTCTCTTGATCATCGGGAGTTAACTGCAAAGGTTCTACTTTGACTTGGTCATAAACGACCTATCCAACATCGAATATAAGAGACACGATGAGCTTCAAACACGGATTAATGACCTAATGGTAATCCTTAAGTAACGAACCAAAAGAGAAACAAAAGTCTGAATATGAAGTTACCATCTCTGAGTCAATCGCATATGGGACGATCGCAGTCTTCTCACGCATTCCTGCTTCCTGTAACCAAAAAGAGACAAATCTCTCAAAACCCATTTCAAACAAACAATCCTGAATCTGTAACAAAGAAGAAGCATATTAGATGATTCAGTAACTACTTTAAGTTCATCGAGAGCACGAGGGACTTCTCCAAAACCTAACCACGAATACTGATTCTTCCCTCTTCTCGCTACAAGCTGCGT